TGATAAATTACAATTTTGTCTTTATACTTTATTTTACATTTAATAATATTATATATATTAATCAAATCTGATTTTATTCTATTATAATCACTAAATATTATTTTGTATTATTATTATTTGAAAACTTATTATTTTGATATTCCAATAATAATTTTAATCTTAAGTTTCAATTTAGAAGTTGAATTTTGTTTTAATCCACATAGGAGAAAAAAAAAAAATTAGTATAGTTGATAATTTATTTTATTATTTACTTTGATTGTATTCATATTACAATTATGAAAATACTATACAAAATTTGCCCCACCGAGTTTAATAAACAATTTTGAGGGGATGGGTATAGCATTCCTAGCCCCAAACTGCCCCGTTGCTAAATCTAGTTCTGGTTAATAACAAATTATCAACTAAACAATTGTGTCAATTTTATTCAGTGCTTTACTCGCACGATAATTTGTTATTGGTCGAGACCATGTAATACAGTGAGATGTTATATCTAATAATGGAGAATAGATGGCTACAAATACTTTACCAAAACAAAGTGAACCTACAATAAAATTAAAAAATTGATATATATGTTTTGATGGAGTGTTTGTAGCCGTCAGTTATACCACGTCACCGTTACTTCTCAACCACCCCCATTGGAGAAATAACACAAACATAAGGGAGCTGATATTAGGAAATAATCACAATCCAACTTTTTTTTAATTTATAAATTATTGAAATATAAAAGAAAAGAAAAAGGTAACTGTTATGGACAAGTCGAAATTGGGTTGGGCTGGTCCCACCTCATCCATTTCCGGAACATTATTTGAAAAGAAAAAGTTTAGGCTGATTCCAAATTGAACTTGAGCCAGGAGGGAAATCTCTATAAGTTGCAACATATTTTTACCTTTAGCCGGAAAAAAAAAAACATATTTACCTTTATAAAAGTAAATGAAGACACCTTTATCTTTTTCTGCAAAAGATTTGGACTGACTTAATATAGTTGAGCGTAATAATTACTCCCTATGTGCCAAATTAAATGTATACCCTTCGATTTTTAAACGTTTCAAAATAAATGTCCCATCTGAAAACTCAAAGTACTATTTTTTGTAACATTACTAATTTAATGTTTTTTGCAATGAACTTATAAAAAATAAACATTGTATCTTGTGAACCTACTGTGGACATCTTTGGTAATTCATTCACTACCAATACAATAAAAAAATATTAAAACCCGAGGGAGTAGCATGAATTTCCTGATGGAGAACAGTTCTTGAAATGGGCTACATTTGGGCCTCATTTATGTTAAAATTTTGAATTGGAGCAACTGTGAGCCCAACCCAATCCCAATGAAATTTGGGCCAGTTGTTAACATTTGAATCAATTGGGTCATTTTGTTTTGCACAATGAGGCCGCCGCCAAAAGGTACAAATACGACAACAAAGGTTTTTTCTTTTTTCTTTTATTCCCGGGTATATTCCACTTATCCTCTTAGGTTGTCAAAATCGCACATAACCTCTCCCTCTAGATTTCATAATTTTGTTTACTTACGTTAACCAATTATTCCTCTGATATGACACTTGGTTGAGATAAATAAAATCGATTGAATATTAAATTTTGATTGATTTGTAATTATAAAACAGTTTTGTGTTATCAAAAAAGTGAAAATAGAAAATTGTAAAAAAACACTTTGCTTATTTTAGTTTTTTGAAAACTCAGTTATAAAAATATTTGTTTTCAGATAACAATTTTTTCTATTTTTTAGATAATTATTTTCAAAATTACAAACGAAGTATGTCCTTAATTTTACTTTTTAATTCTTTTAATGACAATAAACATTTAATGAACAAAACTATAAAATGACGCTCAACCATTATCAAGTTATCCGGTTGTCATTGATATCGAAATTAAGTGAGATTATGAAATCAAGAGATAGTCTATCTAGATTATTGATAAACTAAAAGAGAAGTAAGTGAAATTTATCTTCTTCGGTTTTTTTTTTTTAATATATTTTATTTTCTTCTTATTTTTAATTATTTTTTAAACCTAACAGCAAACCTTTCGACACAATATCGAGCAGATTGATTGTCCTGGTTTGGTTTGGTAGTGTCCCAATTGAGGCAGACTTGAAGTCCACGTCATTTCATGGTGAGACGTGATAGTCATAGACTGAAAATGTCAAATACTGATTAAATAATTTATGTCAATGTAATTTTTTGTAAGATCACGTCAAATTTTGATTGGTTGGGATAATACAGTAGACTTGCACAATGTAATAATTTATGTTAAATTAGTACCTAAATCTTTAGATAAATTACATTTATATAGCCTCAATAAGGTGTTAACTAGACTAGAGTTTTTGGTTGATAGGACCAACTTCAACTACTCCTTGAATTTTGTGAAAACACACTTCCACAATTCTTTGGTATCAATGATATATATATATATATATATAAATAAAAGTACTAAAAATTAATTTTAAGAATGAATTTTAAGAGTTAATTGTGAAGTAAGAATATATATATTTTCTTTAATATTTGTTTGAATTTTGTTGATTGTTCATTGATAAGAATTTCCTTTGACTTTAAAATTTGATGTGATATTTATTTTTTTAAATGGTATCTAAATTGCATTTACACATTAATAGATAAGTACTTAATTTATTCCAAATTTATTAAACACCACCTTTGAGTCACTTTAAATCTAAACTAAAGAATGCAAACATATTGTATCTAGGCATATGATGCAACTTTGCAAAATAATTTGCCTCCAACAAAGAGTGTCAGCGTCAATAAAGAATACAAGCAATCGCCTACAAGTCACGTACATCATAATTAGTAGATCAATTCCATTCACATCTAGTGAGATTTGAATAGAAACATAAGAAAAATGCCTTCCAAAGACCTTACGATATTGCCAAACAGTGGCGTAGCCACATAGGAACAAGTGGGGACAGCAGTGGGGGTAGCTGCCCCCACTGAATTTTTTTTTTTTTTTTTTTTTTTTTTTATATGGAAAGATTTTTATATTTGTATAATTGTCCCTACTAAAAGTTGACATTGTACATATATATACTATATATATATATATAAATAACCAAATGACCATTTACGGTATTATATTAAAAAAAAAAAGGAATATAATCTTTCCAAAACATATGATATTTTGTTTCCATCAAAATATTATATTCTTTCCCACTTTCCTAAAAAATACAAGATATTCTTACTTTTGACTTTATCACAAATAAATGCGTTGTTAATTTTCATTACATTTTCGATATTCAATATTTCTCTTTCGGCGAGTCTCCAAACAAATACTGCAGAGATAGGTAATGTGATATATATATTTTTATCATCTGAATTTACTATTATTGCGTGCTTTCAAAATATGAAAAATATTCTGAAATATTTAGTACTGTTTAATTTTTACATATATTATTTTGGTTCAAATAATATATATATATATATATATATATATATGTTATTGTCGTTAAAAATTGCCTCCACTGGAAGAAATTTCTAGCTAAGCCACTGTTGCCAAAGTGAGAGCTCTCCAATACATACTGATTTTGATAAAAGAATGAGGTATTGAGGTGCGAGTATCAGAACAAATTGATTTTTCTTGGTGTCAAACTAATATAATATATAGATAGAGAGAGAGAGAGAAAGAGAGAGAGAGAGGATTCTGTATCCTTCACCTTTTCTCTGCCTGTGAATAAGGTTGGATGGGATGGTTAACCTTACAACAATTATTTGTATGTGGTATAAAATGAGACAATATAAATCCGAGCTAGTTTATTTATAAAAAAAGAAAATATCAAGTGTGCCACCCTCATCCCTCCTCTTCTCTCGTTGCTCCGACTCTTCTCGCCTCACAGTCGGTGTCATTGCCCGAACATTATTCATTATAATCAAAATAATTTATTAATTGAATAGTCTAATAGTAAAATTCCTGCTTATATCTTAAAGAATGGAGGATGAATGTCCTTAAGGTCACTTCTAAAGAAATTTTCTTGTATGTGCCCTCTCATTAGACCAAAAAATTAAAAATTAAGAAGAAAATAAAACATTGTATAGCCATGCACACATTTATACTTTTCAACCTGCAAAAAAATGTTTATATTATTTTCTAAAGTCAGATTATTATACTAATCACAGTCACACTAATCAACTAATATATATATATATATATATATATATACTGAGTTCTTTATATTTAGTTATAGATTGATTTAAATGTTATGTATGACTAATTTTATGATACTCAAATTATTATTATTATTTTTTTACGATTCTAATAAATAGTATTTACCGATCAGACTTCTGTCATCTCTTACTTAAAACTCGGTATGGTATTTTATATTATTATTTTATTATTTTTAGCTCAAAACTTGCTATAATGGAGCAGTGCATACTTGAAAAGTCAATTCCTTGAATGAAATAAAGCATTAAAAAAATAAATAAATCGATTTTTATTGAAGGTCGTTGGAAATTTAAAAATAGACAAACATTGTGGCTATCAGATGGTTCATATGTACATTCAATCATGCCATATTTTTTGGCTTCCTATATTCTTAGCTGGGACCCACTAGGCCCAAGTGCTCAAATTACACGACACTACGTGCCCCTATATACAGATCAGCAGTTTTATTCAAAATATTTGACCCTAACACGTTATATTGCCTTCTATAGGTTTCTGTTATCAAACCAAACAATATATATTTCTTGACCTTTCTTCAAACTCCAAAACCAATGTCTAAACAGATCATCTTCAATCTCTCCACCATTCTTCCAGGTATATATATATATATATATATATATAACTGTTCTCTTATTCGTTTCTCTCATTTTCTGGTCTTATTAATGATTATTCTTCCATACACGTGTAAACAGTAAACATTTATGTGCAATTGTGTATGCATGTACAGATACAAATTTGACTATATATATATATCTATATATACAAATACATGTGTGTGTGATATTTTGTTATTGATTTTGAAGTTTAATTTGTTTAGCGACATGAAGGTTGAAGCGATGAAGAGGACGACGATGATGGTTATGGTGTTATTCTTAATGTTATTGGTGTTTCGTATTGTTCTCTTGTCAATTTGTAGACTACATACAATGTATTCATTCAGGAGCGATTCAGGTATGGATGGTTGTTTGAAATGTATTTGCTTCTCTCTCATGACTTTTATGAACTACTTTAGTTTCTCTTTTTCGATTCAATCAGTGCACAACATATTGTTACTGTTTTTTTTGGTAAGTGGCATATTCCTATTATTATTATATAAATATATCTAAGAAATTTTTTAATTTATTTTTTGGTAAGAGGTATATTCCTATTATTATTATTATATACATGTCATTTTCATATGGTTGCAGGAACAACACTACTCCGGAAACTGAAACATATGAGTCCTCTGGAGCCACATTCGGTACTGAAACAGATGAGTCCAATGGAGAACCGTTCTGCACCACGTGTCAGATCTTCATTGGCCAGCCCAATCACCTGTGACCGTTCTAATCATAGATACGATATATGCTCCATCAACGGCCCAACCGTCTTGGACACCAGCCAGTCGACCTTTTTTGTTGTGGGCCCAGAAAACTCAAAACCTCTTGTGGAAAAAGTCCGTCCTTACCCTCGAAAATGGGAGAGCTTCACAATGGGCCGCATCAAAGAACTCACTCTTACTTCAGGCTCACCAAGCCCCCCGTGTGAGGTCCAACACAATGTACCCGCCCTGGTATTCAGTGCGGGAGGGTACACCGGAAACTTCTTCCATGATTTTAATGATGGGTTCATTCCCCTCTTCATCACCGTTAATTCGGTCCTCCCCGATAAAGATTTTGTCCTGGTGATCTCTAAATCGCGCGATTGGTGGGTTCACAAGTACGCAAATTTGCTTCGTAGTTTCAGCAAGCACACAATCATAAACCTTGACAATGATAATGTGACCCATTGTTTTCCATCTGCCACATTGGGCCTCATGTCACATGGTTTCATGACCATAGACCCAAAATTAATACCCAACTCAAGAACCATACAACATTTCCATGCATTGCTAGAAAAAACCTATGGCCAAGGTCATCCTTCCTTCTCCATCCCGCCAAAAGCTAGGCCACGGCTCCTATTAGCTAGTCGTAGTGGTGGCGTTGGACGCGTGATCTTGAACCAGGCCGAGGTAGAAAAGGTGGCACGAGAGGAGGGTTTCGATGTCACGGTATTCGAGCCAAAATCCAGCACTCCTTTGCGTGAAGCGTATGTGTTAATACATTCCAGCCATGTAATGATAGGGGTGCATGGTGCGGCACTCACTCACTCGTTATTTCTTCGCCCGGGGTCGGTTTTTGTGCAAGTGGTCCCCATTGGGTCAGAATGGGTGGCTGAGGCCTGTTTCGGAAAGCCGGCTAGGGACATGGGATTGGAGTACATGGAGTACAAGATTGGGGTGGAGGAGAGCAGCTTGGTAGAGAAGTATGGGAAGGATGAGGTGTTGTTGAAGGACCCACAGGCCCTTCTAAAGAAGGGTTGGTCCAATGAGATCATGGACATATATTTGAAGAAACAAAATGTAAAATTTGATTTGGTTAGGTTTAGGGGATATTTGAAGATAGCATATGAAAAAGCAGAAGTGTTTATGAACAAAGAGTGTTAGCATGCTGAATGATATATTGTCACTTTTACTTCAACAAAAGAAAAAGAAAAGAATTTTCAGAACCACTCTTTTTACTCTCTATATAGTATTTGGAAACTTATAATTTTTGTTACTCTAAGTTGGTAGACATACACTCGAAAAATCTCGCTCGTTCCGTTTATAGAGTTGAAAGTGAACATGACAAACGATCGTTAACTCCATATTTTGGGTCAGTTGAGTTTAACTATTTTTTAGTCGTTCAACGTAGCATTAGTGCATTACTCAGATTGAGTGAGCCTATTGGCCATCGGCTTGGGCAGATTTCGGCTTAAATAGCAAATTTCTGAAAAATTTAAGGTTTGCCTTATTCTAAGGTTGAGCTTGGTTGATCATTTGAAGCAATTCATACCCAAACTAAATGTATTACTCCATATTAGTTTAATGAAATGTTTGTAATCCAAACTTATCTTAGGATGTGTTTGTTTGCGTGGAATTCAAAAAAAAAAAAAAAAAAATCTAACAAAATTCAACCAAAATTTTCTTTAATTTCACAATTTTTATTTTCAATACTTCAATTTCATGCAAATGAACACAATCTTAGTCTAATCAGGCTTAACCCGAACTTAATATAAACCTAATTCAAATATAATCCAACTAATGGGCTTTGGTGATTCTGGTAACAAACATGTGCATTCGTTTCTTCAAAACTGTAAAGTTAAATTTTTATGCTACTTTTTCTAAGCATTCTAGTGAAGCTGCAATGAGAGTGATTGTTCGAAGCTGTGGGGGCCGGGTCAAATTGTTAAATCTTTGGTTGGTGAGTAAATGGTAAAGACAAGCTCAAATTTTGGATTTGATTAAAAATATAAATTCTAAGTAATGTCAATTATTTAATCCACATCATTCCATGTTTTTTTTTTTTTAAAAAAAAAAAAAAAATTCATTTTCATAAAAATAATTAGATGGTGTCGGACCACTAAATTATTATAAAATTTTAAAAAAACAGAAATTGAACATTAATTTTGATTGAATTGGACTCAAGTGGTCCGACACCATCTAATTATTTTTATGAAAATGAACTTTTTAAAAAAATTATAAAAAGTTCATTTTCATAAAAATAATTAGATGGTGTCGGACCACTTGAGTCCAATTCAATCAAAATTAATGTTCAATTTTTTTTTAAAAAATTTTTATAACAATTTTATTATTCTCTTGGCATTATTGTTCACTTTTATAATAATTTTATCAAATTGGTGTTTTGATTTTTGACCACTATTCACTAAATGCTTTAGTGCAAAACAAAACAATTTTTACCAAAAGTGTTTTTTCCACTGTTCACTACTATAGTACGGTTAGTACCTGACAAAAATAAAAACACAAAAAACAAAATGCATACCAAACAGGGCTTAAGTAAGCTAGGATTGGAAAATAATCACAATCAAAACTTAAAAAATAAAATAAATATATTTTAAAAAATGATAAAAGTCCCGATCGATTTTTATATCCGATTGATGTGACAATCGCTTGAACTAAACTCTTTAAAAGAAGAGACTATTTTATTGAATATTGTATAAAAAAAAAACATTAGACACTATTTATTAGAGTCACCAAAAAATCAATTCAAGTATAGTTGCATTTATCTTCTTCTTCTTCTTCTCTTATTATTATTATTATTTTTTGTTTTTTAGAAAAGTAGCTGCTGTGAACTACGGAGTACTACTTGCATCCTATATTAGATATCCACTTCGAAAATTTTGACTCACAAGTTTTATGAGTAACTAAAAATGACCTCAAATGACTCAAAGATAACAAGTGGTAATAAGTCAAAGTTTTCAAAGTGGACATCTAATATGGGATAGAAGGAGTAGTAAAAATTGAGTTAGGCGGCTCCAACTCAGCCCTTATCATTTGAAAGCAAAATGTGTGGACTTTGGCTAGTAAATGAAGAATCTGTGAAAGAAGACATATTTCTTGGACTTTGGTAAATGAAGACACCTTTTTCTTTTATCCGTAAAAGGTTTGGACTTGGACCATTGACACTTGTTGGGTTAACCAGTTAAATATAGACTTTTAGATTGAAAATATGATTCCACAAGAGTGTATTAATATATGGAAAATGCTTGGGTCCTCCATTTAGGAGGATGAAGTTTATCTTCCATCTGATGTGGTCCAATGTCATTGGAACATGTGTCTAAAAAATAAAAAAAATTAAAGATGGGCATTACCCATTTTTTACGGGTTAAAACGTTTTTTTTTTTTTTTTTTTTTTTTTTTTTTTTTTTTTTTCTGCTATACGATCATCTGTCTTCATTTCTCTCTTCATGGCAAAGCAAATCTCTCTCCATTACCAAATCCAACATCTATTCGAAACCTTAGTTTTCACCCTGCACTGTTTGCCGCCACCACCTTCCTCCACTGCTTGTGGTTGCCTCCTGTTTAAAACATTAAGTGTGAGTCTCTAAAACCCTAAGTATATATAGTCTTCAATAAGTGTAAAATTTTTATAGTTTTACATGGACTATGTATATTTTTAATTTTAAAAACCTAAAAGTTTAAGTCAAGAACTTGGTGTGTATCTAATGTATAATTTGTTTATTTATTGCTTGGTTAACAGGTCTTTTTAAATTTTTTTATCTTTATTTTCATAACTTTAATTCGATTGCTTAAGGAATTTTATCAATTCATAGGGCTGTATGCCTAGCAATTCAATATTACATATAGATAATCATAAATACAAAAAAATAATAGAATTCATGCAAAACATGATTGTCGGTGCCTAAAATTTGTGATGCTCTAATCACTGTCGAATTGGTCAAAAAGTCAAATATTTCTTGATTAATTAAATACCACAAATACGGGTCCATCAATGGACACGTGTCAAAATCCTAAAGGTTCTCACCTTTAAAAAAAAGTGCTGTTAAATTCAAATTCATTCAGATTTGAATTTGAATTGATTTCAATATAAAAGGAAACAAATCTCTTATTTGATTTCAATATGAAAGGAAAAAAATCTCTTATTTATAGGAAAATCGCACAATTGGGGAGTTTCCAAATTAAACGACCCACTCTTTGGCCTATAAATACAAGGTCACCTTACAAGAGAAAACATACAGACACAGACAGAGATACACAGAAAGAGACAAACAGAACATCGAAGCTCTGGCTCAACAAAAACTCTGAAATTTCTGAAGAAGAAGAACAACAAGCGAGCCACACCTACGCCGTTCTTCATCAAAGACTTTCAAATCCACTATTCGGGATTAAGCCTCACCGGCCCTCGTTCAGAAATCCATTTGAGTTTTCTTTAATTTCGAAGAACTCAAATACAATCCAACCACCGGCCCAAGATGAAGCTTCTGAAGCCCTTGCGCTGACGTTCCAAGGAGATTCAATTAGAGAGAGATTCAAAATTGTAATAGAATAGCAAAAAGAGAACTGTACTCATTTATATTATGATATTATTTAATAAAATTATTGTTTATCGCATTTATTTTCGTTCCTGAATTTTCGGAATTAAAATTTGTGTGTACAAATTTTTGGCACGCCCAGTAGGACATCTCTACCTCTCATCTCTATCTCTTTAATCACTTCATCAACACCTTTTCTTACTCACATCAATGGCCTCTAAGAAGAATCAAATCGCTCATGGCTTGAAGAATTCTGGTAAGAATGTCGCGGTTGCAATGACCAACAAGGCTCTCACCTCGAAGGCTGCTAAGAACACCGCCGCTCCATCAAGTGACAGTAGCATCTCCATGGGACCAACGACCCGTAACAAAGCAATGGTAGCCACTTCCTTGGCACAGAAGCCAAACACGGTGTGTTTCAACTCTATTAAGCTTTTGAATGGAAGGCTTTTCTCCGAGAAGTTTGTCGCCTCATTTATCTCGATCCATTCCGAATCTAACTCAAGCATGGGCTTGCACTCAGCCTCATCCCCGATATCTCTAAGAGGTGTGACTTCACCAAGGTATGCTGATTCTCTGAATCCTTCACATTGAACTCATATGCAAGTCATAATGGCCGACACAACATCGGTAGAGGAACAACTGGTGACTATGGCCCGTGCTATTGAGAAACTTACCAAGACCATGGAAGACAAAGACTTGTAGATTGCTTCATTAATGAATAAGCTTGAAGTACAAAAGTCCGTCGAGATAAGTCAAGGACCTACGCATCCTCCTGGTTCAACGCTACAAGCAACCATGGCGAACAAGACTCACCATGCAACCACATTCGAATAGGGGGCAAACCAAACCAACTTTGCTCCTTCCATCGCTTTGTTGTCTGTCTAACAACTTCAAGACATGATTAGCAACACGATCAGGTCACAATATGGCGGGACAACTCACAGTTATCTCATGTATTCGAAACCTTATATAAAGCGAATCGACAACAAGAGAATGCCAGTCGAATACCAACCCCCCAAGTTACAACAGTTTGATGGGAAGTGTAACGACCCGAACTTGTAGGTCCGAACTGCTAACCGAGTCTTTATCTGAATCTGAGGTTATCTAAGCCAATGCCATCAAGTCCTATGTCAAAACATTACTTTTACATCATAGATATGTTCCAAGAAAGCTCTAATCAAACTCCCCAAAGCCCAAGGTTAAACATGCTAAAAGAATGAACAAAGAGCACCAACCAACACCAATTCGGTCTGCCGAAGTGAGGCTTCGGTTGACCAAAATGACCTCTGTACCGGTCGACCGAAATGGCCATTTCGGTCGGCCGGTTGTAGTCCCAATAGTGACTGCAGCTACTGGAAAGATCGACCGACCGAAGTACTCATTTCGGTCGGCCGAAATGGCCCCTCGAACTGAGAATTTGCTACTGAACGCAAGAATGAAGAATCATTTTCCATACACTTGAAATGAAGGGTTACATACACCATACATGATCACAAAATGATTTACATGAGTTGCATCAATGTTAAAACAAAAGTCCTAAATACCGTTTAGAGTTGTGGTGGATTATTGTTGGCCACTTCTTTTCCCACACCTGAAAGTGTTAAAATATTG